TAGATGGTGCTAAATACATTATRTTGAAACAGTAAGGTTCATGTCAGCACTATGAATACTTCACAGARTCTGGCTGTCTTACACTCTGAGACTGAAAAGATGAAATTGCATCCAAAACATTGGAGCTCATTACTGCATTGATAGCTTAAATTATCTTCCTTTTTGTGATCTTCTGTTCTGCCTCATGGAGTCTAAGTCACTCAACACTGCAACATGGCTAAAGCTCTCCTCTTGTGATGTTGTTCAGAGAATGATACTTCAAATTTTACTCAGATGAAGACCTTTAATCTTTAGCTGAACAGTGTTTTGTAGACTATACTAGTTAAAATCAATCCTTATACAAACAAATATAAAGGAGTTTTAATGATGCCTTTAAAGGAAAGATGCTACRTTAATAGAAATTAATTATGTTTCTTTCTTTTTTAACTTGTGTAAATAGTCTGGAAACATCTCAGCTGTCACTGTCCCAAGCCTGGTAATCACTTGCCTCTGAAAGTTTTGTACATAAATGTGCAAGACATGGAAGAAGGCTGGGAAGGACTTACATTTTAGTCGTTCAAAAACTGGGTACAGTATATCCAACCTGAATTATGTCCTGAAATAAAGAGGAAAATAAAGCAGCTTGTTATTCTAGGAAAAAAGAATAAAAAAAAATATTAATTCTGGTACTTGCTGAATTGAGAYATCAGGACTTCAGAAAAACAAATCCGATAATCTCAGTACTCCAAGTTTGTTGTTAAATAATATAAAAACTTGAGTGCAGCCATGGGGTTACATCAAAGATGATTCAAAGATAATTAAAGTCTTTGCTACTCTGGATAACTTCAGGAGTAGCCCTTGAGGTTTTGCCCTCTTTTCCTTTTATTGTAGCTATGAAATCTATAAGGTTGCTTTTTAATGGATACATTTGTCCAAGTTATGTGGTTTTAGGGATTTAGTTTCACATGAGGCTTAGTATTTGGCTTTAGGAGCTGGTCCTTTTCATTACATGCAACATTCATTCATGTAACAAAAAACTCTGTGTTATTGCAATGCCATAAATAGAGGCAGGTGGAAGATGATAGTCAAAGTTCCTGTAGCTAAATCTCGTAAGTGTACAGCTTGAGTAAGCAACATCAACAGAAACCATGCTAAAGGTTTGGTTTTCCTGAAACTTAGTATTTTCTTTTGTGAGAGAAATAGCTGAATAAAGTTTTGGTTCTGCGAAAGAGGAAACAAACATATTACRTTTTCTTCTAGTCAAGTGAACTTTTGGAGTCCTAGTGTTCTGTGATGTTTTAGTTTATATTGGACAGGTTTAGGAAAACTGTAAAAATGAAACATTTTTCATCCAAAGTAGTCTTAAAGAGTGTTACAACACTCTTTTGATACTTGAGATTCCATCATGTCAGTGGACTAATGCTCCTGGAATTATGGTATATATAATTTGTTCTTTATAAGTACATAAAATGCAGGTGTCACTACTAACTGCAGTATCTTGCTATCATTATAAGACATTATAGGTGTACATGTAAAGCTAATGATACTCAGTGCACTGGAAGAGAAGGGTCTTTAATATTCTTAACATTTTTAAAGATGTAATTATGAAATTAGGTAGTTTATATCTAACTTGGCACTGAAATGTCAAGGGCAAGACTCACTGGCTACTTTGGGAAGTTTACTTCTCCTTTAGATGGTATTTAAAMGACAGTTGTATGATTTTTAATTAGGTATGATATTAAAAAGCATTTAAATCTCCTGTTCTGCAATTGAAGGAAAAGAGATCATTTAAATCATAAAAGGGTACCTTTCTCAAAGGAATTACTGTGGGCTATATGGGTATCTGCAAGCCAACTAGACTTCTTAGTTATATGATGTCAAAAGATTGATAACTTGACTAATTAGGAAGGCAGTTGGGACTGGTGCCAGTCACCTGCAGCATATTGTGAGAGCCAATTTTAAAGTCCCATAGCAAATGTTAAAATCAAACAGTATTTGTGACTCCTATACTATCAAGGTAGCAATGTTGTGTACAGCTCCCCCAAGGCAATTTAAAAGATTTCTCAGATACTGAATGGTAGACTTTGATTTCTTAATATTCCCATCGTAAACACTTGGACAATATTATTAATAGTGTGGGTGCTGATAGCTACCTGTGTAACTTGATAGAAGGTGTCACAGTCAGCTGCTGATCTAGGTATGAGGAACCAGATCTTGGAGCCTACTGAAGTTGTAGGTGTTTGAAAACCAGGCTTTCTACATGTTTTTGGTACAAAGATTCTTAACTATGAATGCTTTTATTTGCAGTGGTTAGCTTTTTTCAATACATCCATGTAWACAGCACAACTATTAGAGGGAGTTTTTAAATTCAAGTTTCAATCTGCTCCAATTTATTCTTCTAATACTGTTTTGCATGTCACTGGAAGCTAATCTATAATCCACGTTGTGACTACAGTATRTTTCAGATACGTGTGAAAAACAGAGAGTGCCCATAAATGTGTTACAGCTATGCTATAAGAAGTTGTGGRTTTGCAATATTTCTGTTTCATTATTTTAAATATTCTTTAAAATTTATTTGATGGGCCTTTTTATAGTAACTGGGATTTTTTATATACTGAAAATCGTTAGGTTTTTGAAATGACTCTGAAATCCATAGGAGTCTTGGACAGGCTTAAGAGGAAACAGATGACATGCTGAAATAGGAATGAAAATTTTCTTCTGTTATTCCTATTTCCTAAAACAAGTCTTATTAACTCTTTACCATAAGCATTAATTGTATCATTTTGATGACTGTGATACTATTCAATCTTTTTTGAATTGCTGTTACCCAAAATGCTTATCAGCTTTTCTTCAGCATTCACGTACCTTAATATAACTAATGACTTGGCTCAAAATTTTTTCAGGCATCATGTTGGTTTGAAACTATTCACTGAGTATATTCATTCCAGACATTAGTATTGTAGAGAATTGCATGATGTCAGATAGAGAAAAGAAATTTAAAAAACACCCCCCCCCCCCACCAAACCAACAAGAATAAACTACCACAAAAAATACCCCAAACAAAAAAAACCAAAAAAACAAATAAGCAAACAAAAAAAAAGAAACAAAAATCAACCAAAAACCAACCAAACAAAAAGAAATTTAAAAAAAAAAACAAACCAAACCTGAACAAACAAATAGGAAGCTGAATATGAATATATAGTTTGAGTGATTTTTTTTTTTTTATAAAGTACATTCCGAAGCCATATTAATAGTTGTGATAGTCCATTGGTTGTAAGAGAGCAAACTTCAGTGTAATAAAACATGTTATACCAAACACAAAGCAAAAAAGAAAAACATTCTGTATTTAAGTCTTTATGTTTWTTTTATGCATCTCATATATATAAACATTAGGCAAAATTATGAATTATTTGCTAATTTTCACTTATTTGGTTTTGTGTATAGCACTTTTAGTTGAGAACTAGTCTGGTAGTAGCGAGTAAAGAGAAAAGAGAAGAACTAAGGGGGTACTGTTTCCTGGATAAAAAGCTGGCTGGGTGGCTGAATCCAAAGGTTGGTAGTGAATAGAGTTACATCCAACTGATGGTTAGCCACACGTAGCCYTCCACAGGGCTCAGTGTGGGGCCCTGTCCTGTTCAGTGTTTTGGTCAATAATCTGGATGAGGGAACTGAGTGCCCTCTCAGTCASTTTGCAGATGACACCATGCTGGGTAACAAGTGTTGATCTGCTGGAGGGCTKGCAGGCTTTGCAGAGGATCTGGACAGGCTGGATCCATGGACTGAGGYCAGTTGTATGAGGTTCAAYAAGGCCAAGTGGTGGATCCTTTGTGGGTCACAACAACCCCCTGCAGCACTGCAGGCTGTGGGCAGAGTGGCTGGAAARCTGCCTGGTGGAAGAGGACCTGGGGGTGTTGATGGACAGCAGCAGGACATGAGCCAGTGTGTTCCCAGGTGGCCAATGGCATCCTGGCCTGTATCAGCAATAGTGAGGCCAGCAGTACCAGGCAGGGATTGTCCCCTGTACTCGGCATCTTGTTATATGATCTTGTTATATGATCCTGATTTGCATATTCACTGTTACCAGGAACTGCTGACTCAGTCTAAGATGTGTGTTGACCTAGGGAGTTTTGCCCAGTGGGGTATAATGAGATTTCCATCTTGGAATTGCTTGTTCTTCTGGGGAGATTTTTTTTGTTGTATAGTTAATCCCTGGAGTTCTGTTCTTGTCCTCTCATGCATACRTAGAACGGGGTAACAAGGTTCAAATATCTAATACATCCTGATGTGTTTATTTAAGGAAGTAAAAGTAAAGGGTGTTTAATATTTGCATTTGGTTACCACCTCAGAGTAACAATCATAATTCTTTTGGGGGTTATTATACACATGTGTAGGCATTATACATATACATATTGTACACATATTGTTAGGCATTATACAAATGTAATTTGATGAGTAGAATTTTCCTGAACTACATAAATTACTTAATTTTGGTCAGAGGTTGTTTAATGTGAACGGAAAATGGCTTTTGATTAAAGCTACCTGTGGATATCACTGTATCCTATCCAGTCCAATATTGTTCACTGAGCTCCCTGCTGAGAAACAATTTCAACTTTTTGCAGCAATAACTGAAATGATCTTTTGTATAATGTTGCAAATCATATAAGGGACAGCTCTTGAAAGCTGACATTAGACTGATTATTTGCAGTTGTTGAAGGGTACTGAAATGAAAAGATGAGTGAAATGATATTTCACTTAAAACCATGCTTGACTATCACTTCAGAGAAAGAGGAATGTGAAATTAGTGGAACAAAATTTGGCCTAGTTCAATCTATAGAAGACCAAATCTGTTTGGGTTAATTGCAAGAGACCAATTTGTAAATATTAAAGCACTGGTCAAAGTTTGGAATAAATAGTTGTAACAATACCATTGATAACCATTATTACTGTTTTTTGATGGTATTATGCTTTATGTCTTGATATTGCTATGGTAATCTAGATGGTTCCCTCTTTCTCCTTTMCAGAAGGTGAGGAGACTGGAGTGATGGATAGCCTGTTGGAGGCCTTGCAGTCAGGTGCGGCTTTTCGAGACCGAAGGAAAAGGACACCGAGGTGTAAAGGTGAATATTCTACTTTGTGTTTTATTTTCCAGAGAAAGTTAAAAGCATTGTGGGTCCAGCACTATAGAATTTAAATATTCTCCAGTTTAGTTCACTCTTGCAATGACAGTTTTCAGGGATGTTCAGACTGTTGCTGATGTCTGGAAATTATGTACTGAACTTATTATACCCTGATCCTTATGACAAAACTTTTCAATACAGCCACATGTACTTTAACTTTTCAGGGTTTATAGTTGTATGGGTGAAATAAAACTTATCTTGCTCCATAAGTGAGTCTGGGTCAAATTATTTGTCTGGTATATAACTTATTCATTTATTCCGAGCAATACCTAACTTTTAAATGGTTCTGTTTGTAATGTTGTAATACTGTGATAGCTTTCAAATAGGTGTTTTATTTCCATTGTTTCTTTGCTTTTGCAGACATACAACAAAATCTCAGTCCAACCACACAGCGGCCTGTGCTGAAAGCTTGTAACCATGGTAATGAACCATATTCATGGATTGCATGCACTTAGCCTAGCTTATGTAGTTGATCTGTGCTTTCAAGACTGCTCAGATTATTTTTTCAGTTTTGTTCATTAGTGGAGTACTTAACCATATTGGAACTTGCTTTTTAAGAATCATCTGCTTATTACATCCTGAAACTATACTTATTCATTACTCTGCAAAGCTCTTCTATCTTTTATGGGATTTTTATTTATTTAAATTTTGATTATGTTTTCAAATTGTGGTACTTTTTAAATCCTTGAAAATTATTATGCAAGTTTTTAGGGATTATGGAACTGTAATAGAAAGCAGAGATTGCATAATGTTTGAAGTGTTACTGAGTGCTTATTATACCAAACCAGAGAAGTTTTGGCATTCATTCTGAGTTTCTTTGTTCTGGTTTTCTTGATGCTATAACTGGAGTGGTTTAAACKATTGTTTACCAGTGTAATTCAAAAGGGATGTTGTATCAACAAAGTTATAGTAAATATTTATTTATAAACTGCTGAACTATCTCACTGCAATCAGTAGGATTTGTTCCTACGAGGAAAGTGACAGTGCAGATGTGGGTGTCTGTTAGCTTCATTAGATAGACAATCTACAGAATATTACTCTGTTAGCTGTGTKTTAATCAAGCTTGAGGCGTCCAGAGTGACTCAGTTGCTCATGACTAGTGGTTGCAGGAAAAAGTTTATGTCTGTTGTGCCTCTGTTAAAGAGAAATTTTAATTTGGGGGGGGGGAATCTTTCTTAGTTTTTAAAGCAGAACGCACTATTTTTTATATTTAAATGCACTGTGGGTTTTATAAAGCAGATGTCATAAAATTARTTATGTTAATTATACCTCATGTTTATGTGTTTATTTCTCTAAGTGTCGCAAAAAAAGACTTAAACCCGTTGAATTGGCATTATAAGCACAAAATTGAACCAGTAGAGCTGGAAGGACAGTTTAAACATAATTAGAGAAATTGTATCAAAGAGAAATCAAGTATATTTGACAGGTACTTGTCTAGCACATAACGTATTGATATTTGAGTGATGACTATAGAGCACATCTGAATTTATCTTGTAAGAGTTTCTGCTTGAAGAGCAATTATTTTAAATACTGATTCTTATCAGCAGATTCTATCTAGGTGGCTGTCTGTGGACAGACTGTAGTTTCCAGTGTTCAGACTAACTGCTTTTGGTTGAACATTATGGCCATGTTTCAGATTAAAAAAAAAACAATCAACAAAAACAAACTTAACACTCAAACCCACCAAAATTTTAATGCTGAAGAATCTTAGTGTAAACCATGAAATGATTTGAACATCGGATGGATATTGCCAATGTCACCCTCAGTACAATGGTATCAAACCAGCATTTGCTTTTCAGGCTTAGACAAACTCTGTAAAACAAAGGAATATAGAAGAGGAAGCCAATGCTGCTTCTTAGCTCTAGAACTGAGAGCTGAAATTGTTTGCTTTAACTAAATAGACAGCTTAAGGGAAAAAAAAAAGGTGGAAGAATAAATTTAGTGGAATGCTAGCTATTGCATGGGCCATTTTTCTCTTCGTGATCTGTTGAGCTCCCCTGAAAGCTCTGGAAATGTTCAGCTGATACTTCTGATTAAAAAGGAGTACTGGTTCTCATGCTACATCCCACAGTAGTTGAATGTGTGTTATTTTSAATCTTACTGCATTCTTCTGTTATTGAACAGATTGCCTCTTTCTAACATGATGTGTAGGTTTGGTCAAGTTCAAATTTGCTCTATTTTTGTGATCAGAATTACCAGTTGTATTTTTAATGCTTGTGACAAGGCCCATCAAGTCACAATATTTCTTGTGGGGAAAAGRTCCTGCTCCATAACTAACAGAAATAATATACATTTGGAATTACTAAATCTTGGAAAAATTTTCATGCCTTACAAATGAAAATAATATACACTGGATTTTAGTTGATGTAGATGCGATTGGTATATTTTGTTCCCATTCAGAGTGTTTTGTATTTTTAAATTACCAACTGAATTACATCTATGTGCAAAATTACCTGGTAATGTTAGAGTTTGCTTTAACTGCAAAAAACCATAGACTGCAGTAAACAGTGTGGGTTATGCTTTTTGCTGGAGTTCCAATTCAGATCGCTGTATGGCACAAGCAGAGTATTGGTATAATTTTAGTGTTGTACTAAGGATTCAATAGCATCTAGCAGAGGGGGTCTATTATTTTATTTAGGGAGCAGAAGAAACCACTTAATTTTCAATGATCGAGATTTTGCACATTAGAAGATCATTTCAGGTAGCTAATAGCTGTGGCTGATCCACCTTTATCAATTATTTACAATAAGAGTCAAGGCATACCTGCAGCTTGTATGTTTATTTCAAGGTACTAAAGTTCAAATATGTGGAGCAGCATATCCAAGGCAGGGCWGAGCCTACTGCAGCACAGATAGCTGCATTATTCACTAAGTTTTTGGTCAGGTTTTGCAGCCTGCATCAAGTTCTCTGCTGCTATGGTTACACATTTATTTGCAGTAGCATTAGCCAATCTAATGCTACCTGAATTGCATGAATACAAATTTGAGATGCAGCTTTGATTGCATATATACACATACCTCAAATGCCGCAGAAAGTGTTTATCTTTACAAGCAGATCATATTCAGAATGCTGTGAGTAAAGAAGAGCTATAAAAAAGGCAAGTAAAAAAATACAGATTTCTTTTTGAGACTGCAGAGGTTAAAAGAAATCTTTCTGTCCCAATCAGTAATTGCGCTGTGGACTGCATTTCTAAAGGTGACAAAAAGGTCTTGTTTCTATATTCAGATCAAACTTCCATGGTAAAAGATAGTTGTAGTTGCTATAGCTGTTTGTTTGGTAGATCTGTACACAATAGAATAATTTTCATGTCACAGGTAGTCTGAAGCATTTTAAAGAYGTCTGTTAAATAAAACCCTTATGTAGCATTTTCATTCTGTCCCAATTAAGGATAAGGAAACCCTTTTTTCATGTTCATTGGGTTCTTTTCATCTTGTATTTGTAATAGAACTGTCATCTGATATCCATATTAATGTCTCTGCTACCTTATTTTTGACAAGCAGGGCTGACAGTGAGCACAAGCTCATCTTAGTTCTTGAAACCAACAGTGTAACTACATAGAGGTCATTTTTATTTCATCATTGTGTATGACAGCAAGCTATGATTGTCATTTCAGCCTAATTTTTCTCTAAGTSTGTGTATGTTTCTGTCTTTTCTTCAACTGTACATAGTGAACATTAGGAATTACCTAACAGTGAAGAAGCAACCCATGAAGATAACCTTTTTTTCCCAAATATGTTAGTATAAAGGCCCCCTCTTGAGCATTAGCAGTTCTTCATAGTAGATACTGCTTTGAAGGCACAGTGCGTGTTCAGCCGTGTGATCACAAACATATGTACCTCTGGTGGAGAAAATTTTTGTAAAGCTTTGTGAAGTTTTACTCAGTAGACAAGTTTTCAACAGAAAACATGGAATAACTGTAGGCACTGTTATGAAATAAAAACATTTAATAAGATTTCTATTAAAAAATGGTTCTTAGCTTTTGCCATTTTAAGACCAAACCTTCACTTCAATATTGACTTCATAGGTCAAGTAAAACTGCTGCTTATTGTAACAGAAATAATTCCCCTGGAACCATCTATACTGTTTATAATAGTTTTGGTTTTTTTTTTTCCTAGAGCAGAAGCAGAATTCAAATAAACTGACCATAAAAGTCAATTTTGCATGTGTTGGAAAAAAAATTATATCCAGACAAGGAAAATGAATTTACACATTTTTATTTCTTTCTTTAGAATTATTTCTGCATTGCCGCAGCTGCAAACACATAAAATCACAGAAATATCCCTGAAGAATTTTCATTCCAAAATATCTAGGAAAAAAGATTAATTTTGATGCAGTTTTTTAGCAATCTCTCACACTCATAATTGAGTGTTAGAATGAGGAAAGTATCCAAGTCAGAAGGGATGGCAGCCAGCAAGAAGTGTTTAGAATGAAAAATRAGAAATKATTTTTTTGAGACYTTTTCYAACAAAATACTCTTTAAAATAAAGACTGATATAATGAAAGGTATAAAATGCTCATTTATTTAATGATTTACTTATTTTTCAATGCCGAATGCTGAAAAAATGGATGGAGACTCTGTCAAGAAAGAAAAAAGGTACTCCAAATTAGTAGTAATTGCATATTATTACTGTGAAAATACTAATCTAGACAGAAAAAAAGTTATCTTTCCCTTATTATGAGCTAAACACACACTGACAACTTGTATTTAGAAAGTTGAGGAGGAATTGCAATCCTACAAAAAATGTCCATGTCTATTTTACTGAAGTCTTTTGAGATTTCCCTTATCAACTCTGATGAGTAAGATTGCACTCTGCCTGTGTCTTATATAGCATTATATCTGAGCATAATACAGACAAGAAAAAGAACCCAGGCTTTTTCAGAGTAAAAATTTGAAGTGCCACCTTGAGACAAGGTGGACCTTATAATGGGGCTTTTTCTCCAGAGGTTTGACAATTTCATTCGTAAAGTTGCGACCCTTTGAACATGTCAAATTAGACACTCAGAAGAGTTAATTGCTTTTGTAAATATTTTGCCAGTGTACATTGGTATTAGTTGAATAAGATCACTGCTCTCAAGGGAGGCAAGGACACTTTCTGCAAGATAAGAATGGTAGCAAAAAGGTGACATTTGAAAGCAGTGACACTGTATATTCCATAATTGCACATACAGTAAATGTCAGCTTCATAATTGCCTAGGTAAGTAACCAGATTTCCAAAAGCTACAGCAGGCAAGTTATATAGTCAAAGCAGTCAGCTGAAAATTTATCAGTGGAAAATCTTAAATCTGTAAAGGGACCTGTAAAATATCAGCAATTTACCCATATTTGTTCTTTCATTGTGTAGTCACACAGAACTTCCCATTCRAAGTCAATTACTAAGTTCATATATATAGCAAAGAGATTCTATCACTTCTCATAGAAG